CCCCAAAACCCCAAAACCCCAAAACCCCTTAGTGGTCAATATATTTTGAAATAAATATTAATGGGGAGATTCAAATTAGTTCTTCTGGTGCTTGCACTACAAACTATATTTATAGTAGCCTATTCTTATCAAATAGACCCTCTATTGGTCTCAAAATACATTGTAAATGGAGAAAGCACTCCTTCCTTCTATCCTAATGATGTTGAGAATACCACCAAGGTAGATTATGGACTTGGTCCGAATGAAATTACAGATCTTGGACTCAAGAACATGAACAAAATGGGAAAAGTTACAAAGAAGGAACTTTCTGTTGACAGGAATATAATTCCGACCTTCTATGACCCGAAGTATGTCTTTACTAGAGGAATGTCGGAGCAGAAGACTATCTACTCCGCTTATTCATATCTTCTAGGAATGTTTCCTCATTCGATCAATGGCGTTGATTTCAAATCTGAGCTGATGGACGATGGGGAGACTATTCCTTTGAAATATTTGGATAATATTCGCAAAAGAAGCGGCATGGATAATAGGCTATGCAAGAACAGAACTCTTCAGTACTATGGTGGCAATAGAGATTACGAGTTCATTGAGAGCCACTTCGATCAATACCCAAGTCTGAAGTACAAAATGCTCAAAAATCTCCAAGATGCTAAAGTGATCTTTGAAAGAGAATATGGAAATGAACTATACGAGACAATGTCCAGGACCATGAGAATCGACACTGATAGGCTTGATTTTTACAATTCGATTGATTACCTTGAAGACTATGTAACTGCAAAGTATAACAAGAAGAAAACTCCATATCATTTCGATGAGAGTACTGATCTTCTTATTGAAGTCTATTACACTCATTACTTCAAGCTTGGGATCTTTAAAGACCCAGCCATTCTGAGAGTGTTCACCCATTCATATTTTGTGAACTTGGCAAAAGAGATGCTATTAAAATCTCAGGTAGATCAAGAATCTATCTATGTTGGCTTGGCTAATGAGAACATCGACACAATGGGACTCTCCTTACATTTTGGAAACCAAATCACATTCTTGGCTATAATGCACCAAATCAACACTCTTGAGCAGTACTTCCCATCTTACGGAGATGAGCTATCTTGGACCCTTTATAAGAAGAGAGGAGAGTACTGGGTCTTCGGAGAATATGACGATGAAAAACTTAACCTTGAGAGTAAGGCAAATTCCATGGGAGAGATCTCACTAGATCGATTCATCACATATATTTGAAGTAAAGTCTACTTTGGTGATATTAAAAAGGTCCTTAGAGGAGAGGAAGACCCTGATGATTTCCTTGATTCTCCTCATAACTGCAAGCAGTTCTTTGAAAATCATTATACTTTTGAAGAAGAGCTTCTTCAAACTAGAATTGACCCTTATAGCTTCCAGCAAGATGATTCTAATCTAATTGATGTAAATAAGCACTGTAGCTTGATCGATGATGAGCCAAAAGTAATAGAAAAGCCTGCTAAGAAGCCTAAAACATTCAGAAACGTCACTCAAATCATCCACGAAGTACAAGTCCCCATAACTGCTACCAACCCATACCCCTCTGAGCTCTCATACAACCCCTACAATCCCTACTACCACAACGACTGGGACTAACTCTCCATAGCCCTTCCAAACATCTAAATTCAATTCCTTCATTCCAAAACGGGGTTTTGGGGTTTTGGGGTTTTGGGGTTTTGGGG